CATTTCTCTCAACTCTCTCCCCTTTCTCCTTTATACGACCGACGACCCTCGCCCCAAATCAAGCTTGACCACTGCCCAACGATGGCGTTCCACCTCCTTTCAACCCCGGTAAAGGTTGAACAAACCAAAAAAGCTTTCCTCTTCTTTTATTCTTCGACCAAAAACCCCCAACCCCCTAAAGATGTCGTAACTTGGTGAGGAGTAACCCCGACCACCACCATCAGTGGTCGGGTCCCATTCTAAACGCAAAAGAAACCCAAAAAAATGATTGAACCCTCCTTTAAAGTTTTCACTCACCGACGCTTCAACTCCCAACCTCAGCGACCTAAGCTATGGTGAGGGACTCCGAACGATGCAGGTAAAAGGCTCCCTCTCTCACCTTTATTTCTATTTGGAAAAAAACAAGGATGAAGAAAGTTATTGGAAAATGAAGAACCCAAAAGCAACCTTCTGTGTATTTTTTTACTCAAACTAATCTATTTTTTTATTTGATTCGTTGTTGGTCTTTACATCCCTCATTATTTTGGGTTTGATAGTCTGATTTACAATAATAAAAAACAAACCAAACCCCCTGACAATGTTAATTTTCTTCTTTGTGCAGCAGGGTATGGTGATCAGCTACAACCGGGGCATGGCAGGGCATGGTGGTTGGTGGCAGGAGCGTGGAGCTGGCAGGGCATGGGCAGTTGGTGCAGTGTATGACCCCTTTTTTTTTATTAATTTCTGTAAAAGAATTGGTGCTTACAGGAACCAATTAATAATATCCGAGGCCTCGATAGAAAATTTTGTATTCTCCAAAATTAATTCTGGTTAGGCCCAATACCCCATATAATTGATCCTCTTGGGGTATTAGGCCAAAAAAGGTTTTCAAATTAATCCGTTATCGTTAACCATAACCATTAACCAATCAAAATGTTATAGTTTATAGGTTATACCAAACCATTAAAGTTAAACAATTTCGGTTAACCGAACTACTAAAAATATTGAATAACGGTTATAGTTAATAAATTTTAATAAATGGTTAACCATCAGTTAATCGTTAATAAATTACAATCAATTAATTATATTTTATAGAGAATAGACTTAGAAATAAAATAAAAATAGTTTCTCATGTTTTTTAGTTATCATATTTATCTTATATAGGATCACATTAAATCAAATAGATGGAAGAAATACATGATTTTAAATTGCAAAATATAAACATGCACGTAAGATTTTAAACTGTAAAAAAATGAATATACCTCATAATATATATATAATACATTTATAAACAAATAAATAATATTTTTACAAAATCTATATGTTTCCATCATCGTAAATTTATGAAATTTTGAAAATGTGTTATGTTTGAAAAAATGTAATAGGTTAATCATAAGTTATCTTTTAACCGATTCGTTAATGACGGTTAGCTGTTAGTAGTTAACCATTTCTTAATGTTAGGTTATGATTAACAAAATTTATTATCCATTATAAGTTAACCGATCGTTTAAGCTAAACGGTACAATTAACCAATCATGAACACCCTTAGTTATAACCAATTTGAGTTCATCCACAACTTTACTTCCATTTTATTATTATAAAATTTGTTTGACACACATCTAATCTAAAATTTTGAATCCATTTAGAGTCTTATTTTTTCTTGAGATTCTAGTTTTGTAAGATATGCATGTGTTTTTAAAGGACTTGACTCAAGTTCTTAACGAGTCGAAATGAGTTACTTGATAAAGACTCAAAAAGTTTATGAGTAATTCTAATTAAAACTTTAACTTTAAAAAATTAAATTATTAATAAAATTAATATTCAAATATTGTTTTTTTTCCAGAAAATATAATATAAGGTTATCATATACTTAAGGTTTATGTTTGAATTTGAGTTTGAGCTTGAATCGAACTTGAGTTTGAGATTGTTTCAAGTTTAAGTTTTTTTGAATTCAAGTCTAAGTTTTTTGAATTCAAGTCGAGTTTCAATTTTTTATTTTAAATCGATATTGAAAATTTTAAACACACGAACTTCTAAATCGAGTCAAGCTTCAATTTTTTATTTCAAGTTTTAGTCGAGTTTGACAAATTTAAGTATGTAAAATTTAGAATCGAATCAAGCTCAACTTTAAACTTTTGGGTAAACTACTCGGGTGACCAATCAACTATGGTAAAAAATAATTTTGACCACCGATTTTTCGATTTGATCAATCAGACCACCCAACTATTTAAATGCTTCAATCAAGCCACCCGCTGTTAACATTTAACGAAGGTGATGATGTGGCAGTTAAAATATTTTGGTATAATTACACAATCGATACCTATTATTTATATATCCATTCAATTTGGTCCTATTTTTAATAAATTAAAATAAATTTAACCCTCGAATCAGGAGACGCCATGACACGTGTCATCGTTCAATTGGTGGACTAAATTTATATTAATTTTCTTAATTTAATATATTTATTTTCCTCCAATAAGAGTGCAATACCCAAAAATTTGGCATGTGGCCACATGTAAATTTGAAAGTTTGGTGGCCAAAGTAGAAATTTGGTAAAGTTCAAGGACCATAATGGTAATTTTCCCAAAAAGAATTTTTATTTCATAAATGAATAGTTCATATTGAAGAATAATGTTTTTATGAAATTCAGATTTTGATCCGGAGTTTGTGTAAAAAGCTATGAAGCGATAAAATTCGGTAAAATATTCAGATAACCGGATTGAACCGAAAGTTTACAAAAACTTGAAAGATGATATTATGGGGTTATAAATATTATATTAATATTTTTAATCAGTGGAATTTAATATGGGTCAGTGTAATTAAGTTGATTTTTCATGTTAAAGTGAATAAATTGGAAGGGAAAGGATGGAAATTAATAACTATTATTTTTATATTTATATGATGATATAATAAAGGTAATAAAAGCATGGCAAGGAGGTAAATATCAAGATTCATTAAGGGTAAAAATGATTTTTGGACTAAAATGAATTTTAAATTCATTTTAAATTAGTTTTAAGCCATGTGTAGTAGATTTTTTTGGAGAAAATTCAAGAAAACTTCTTCTTCCTCCTTGTGGTGTCGTAAACTCTATAGCAAAGGTAAGGGAGTTTTCAATTTGATTTTTAAGCCATTTTAGTTGATTTTTGGACTAAATTGTGAAATAGAAAAGTAACATATATTAAATTCTCTTTCATTTGGTGTTAATATTTCATTGTTTCCTTATTTGAAATGTTGAATTGATGATTATGGTGGATGAAGGGGAAGTTAGAATTCATTGAAATAAGATTAGATTATGATGTTAGGAGTGTTGTAGAATCATTTCTAAGCTTATAGGATGATTGAAAACACTCGGAATTCTTTATATAAGATTCGGCTACCTTGGATATTCATGAAGAAATGTTGAATTTGGATTGAATTTGATATGAAAATGATGTAGAAATGATGTTAGGAGCTTGAAATTATGTTTGAATCAAAGTGAAAATTTTGCTAAAACCCTATATATACATTCGACCATGATGAAGTTTATTGGGGAAAAATATAAAAAAAATTATAAGTGTTAGAGTGGATATGAGAATGATTCTACACGCTTTGGAATATGTTTTGGACCATTTTGAAATTTTGTTAGGTTGTAAGGACCTTTTCACAAATTTAGGGAAATTGAAAGATTGAAATACAATTGCCTGAAAGTTGAGGTAATATGTTAAAAAATTAATACTAGAATGATGGAATATGGAATTGGATTGATTTGGAAGGTTGTTAAAGTTTAGGGACTAAAATGCTCAGTGCATGAAAGTTAAGCTTGAAATGGAAATTAGTATAAGTGTGACGTACTAATTTGAAAGTATTGAAAAATTGTTGAATATGGTGATTGATAAGGAATTAAAGTGAATATCAAAGGACTACTATGAATGTTTTTGAAATGTTGGGTTAGATTTAAAGAAAAGTTTATTGGTTATTAAATATGAAATGTTGAAAAGTTAAGTGAATTATTGTGATGAATGATTAATTGAGGAACTTGAAAGGTTAATTTGAAGGAGTTAAAGTTAACTTTGATTGGGTGAAAGAAATTTGCATCGAATAAGTATTGATTTCATTTTTAGAATTGTTATACGAATATGAGCTTATTACGTTAGTTAAAGTACTAATATAAATTTGAAAATTTATATGTAGGTAGTGATTGAAATTGAGACCAAAGCGAATTGAAAGGAAATGACAAAGTTCGAGAGTGAAAGCGATAATAACATTAAGGTACACAAGTGAGACATCAAGTGAGGGCATCTTATTTTATATATGATACGAGAATGGCTTGCGGCTTGCGATAAGCCAACCTCGAATGTTTTTGAATGAAAATGATTTAAATTATTTTATGATATATTTTTATATTGATTTATTTATTAAATGATTTTGGGTATGAATTACACAATACACTTTTATATGGTATTTTATTGCACAATATAATGTTTTTGAATGAAAATGATTTAAATTATTTTATGATATATTTTTATATTGATTTATTTATTAAATGATTTTGGGTATGAATTACACAATACACTTTTATATGGTATTTTATTGCACAATATAAGAATGTTTTAGGTATGAACTGTCCAATATAGAATTTAGTGATGATACATTGATATTTCTCATATGAATGATTTTATATGTGAAATGTCTTGAGAATCAATTAATTATTTACTAAAACTTTTGACATACTATTAGAGTTTATTTTATTACTCGAATCTAATTTTTTTTAAGTCAAATCGAATTTATAAAATTATGAGTCAAATTAATTCAAATCAAGTTTTTTGGATTGAATCGAGTCAAAACGATCAAATTTTTAGTCATTTTACTCACCCCTAACTGCTATTATAATGATGAAATATATGTTTTGATGCAACATCCAAGGCGGTAAAAAGAGAGAGAAATGAGAATCTGGTTCAATGCTCTGTTTGCAAGTCAATGAATGGACTAAATGAAATCCCAGGATTGACCATAATTAACACTTCTCTTAATGACAACAATGGTGAAATACTAACCCCAGTTGATTAGCAGGTTTCATTAAAAATATTAAAATTACAGTTCTCTTCCTTCGAATTATTGTCTACCTTTCTTTCCTACATGCCCAGTCTTCCGCTTGTGACGACTGAAATCCGACACGAAACGAAATGTCTGACCGCAGCCTTCCTCGGCGCATAGGTAAGGACGAGCACCTGTGTGAACCCTAATATGTTCGGTTCGAGCCCATGCCCACTTGAATGACATCTTGCAGCCCTTCCATGGGCATTTAAGAGGCCGATCATCTAGATGAACTCGACGATGCTGAACCAGATATTTGTGTGAGAAGAACTTCTTCCCACACCCTTTGACAGGACAATTGTTTCTTTTGTGCATGAGCATCGCTTGTTTTGAGCCGAAACTCATCGAGCAGCCTTCGATGTCGCACTGGTATTCCGCTTCTTCATTTCTTACTTTTGCAGCGTTGTGACCTGCTTCGTTTTTCGAATTCAAAGCATTCTTCAATTTCTTCTTACTGGATTGCTTCTCTTTCGGTTTTGTTCCCGGCTCTCTCAGAGGCTTTCGGTTTCTTTTCCTTAAGCGTGTGTTTGGTCCACCTTCAGTCTCGTCTTCATCAGATGAATTGCACTGTCTAGCACTTCGCTTAATTCTGGTGTTCCAAGTACGAGGAGTCTCTTGTTTCACTTGCTGAGAGACTACTTGTTTTGTTGACAGACCTTTCGCTCGTTTCACATTCCTAGAGGTTTCTTGTTTTACTTTTCGTGGCGTTGGGGCTTTCCTCTTTCCGCTTCTAAGACTCTTTTTTGATTGATGAGAAGTACCATACAATGAATCATCTGAAACTGCATCTTCCATCTCAAGAATCTTGGTTTGATTACTTCTCGGGGTCCTCCGAGGCTGCCGAAGAGGACTGTTATCTGTAGAATCTGATGAAACTGCATCTTCCCTCTCAATAAACTCAGTTAGCTGATTTCTACGAACCCTCCTATCACTAAATTTGGCTGCTTTGCTACTAAGAACCCTCCGATGCTTCTGTTTAGGACTATTCTCGACGGAATCATCTGAAAACTCATCATCTCTTTCCATGCACTTCATTTGCTTGCCTCTCAGAATCCCCCTAAGCAGATTCTGAGAGTCACCATCCGAATCTTCGTCTGACATTGCATCATCGCTCTCGAGAAGCTTTCTTTGTTTGTCTTTACGCATTATTTTTGAGACTGTGGCATTCCTCTTGGCTGACTTCATTTGCTTGCCTCTTGGGATCCTCCGACGCTGCAAATGAGAAATTTCTTCTTGTTCATCATTGTACACAACCGTTTCTCCGTCTGAAAATTTGGCCAGCCAGCTTCTAGGAACTCTCTTACGCTGCTTAAGAGAACTTTCAACGAGTGAGTCTCCAGAAACTTCATCTTCTTCAATAGAGTTGCAATGCTTGCCTCTGAGATTGCACTGTTGATGCTGATGGGTAGAATCCTCTTTTTCATCCTCCGATTCCGCATCATCTCTTTCAATAAAATTTGCCGCTTTTATCCTCGAGGGATTCCAGTGCTGCAGTAGAGAATCATCCTCAAGCAGATCACATGAAATTGCCTCTTCTTTCTCAACCAGTCTACGGTTCTTGCCTCTAAAAATTACCCGTTGCTGCCTAAGAGAACCTGCATCCAACGAATCATCCGAAACAGCACCCTGCAGCTCAAAGCATTTCACTTTCTTGTTAGCTGCGATCTCCGCCCTCTTTTTTCCCTTCCTATTAACCACCTTTGCTGTTTCGGCTTTCCGAACGTTTTCCGGTTTCCTCTCAACATTTTCATCCGAAGTCGCCCAAGCATGGAAGTTTTGTTCTTGCTCTAGTTCCTCGGGATCCTTTTGTGCTAAAAATGGATGAACCTGATTCGACATCCAGACTTTACCACACCATTTTCCAGCCACTACTTTTCTCGTCCTGCTGGTCCTCCTACCGTACACATTCAACTTTGTTGGTGAGGTAGCAGGAGAATTACGGCCAAACACAGAGTATATAACACAATTGTATGGCATCTGTTTACTGTATAATGTAGAGCGGCTAAGATTGGCACTGTAAAATAGGTTTATACCAAGCTTTACGGCCCAGTCCCCATTCCCAGGTATAGCATCCTCACTATCAAGAGCTGACTGGATCTGTTCTTCGTCATTCTTAGTAGCATCCGCATATAAGATGTCATTCCAGAGATGATCAATTCCAAGTTCTTTAGCCACCAACTTCGCTTCTGCTTCTATTTTGGGATACTCTGCAATGTTTCATACATAATAATTGTAATCGATGTGAAAGAAAAGAATCTAAAACAGTTAATTGCTAAAAATGTTTATTTGGTTTCTGAAAGATGCAAATCATGCACATAATAATAACCAGTAACAGGAGACTTTCCCCAGGCCCGAAACGAAGTTGTTGAAATTCGAAGAAACAAGAGGGACAAGTTGCCTGGTGCATGGTGCCTCACGTTGATTATAAAATAGAGGTGAACCTTCCACAATTCTCTTCCATGTGTATCAATAATCTCGACATAAAAGTGTGGAAAGGTTAAATAGAGGACTTCGTATTTATCACTACCTACTCGACATATTTACTCGCATGCAGTGACAAAAAAAAAAAGTGTTGCACATGATATAGAAACATAAGGAAATGCAGATTAATTCACAAAATGTAGTATCTCCTGATTTCTTTTTGTTTTCTCCCTTTTGGGGAAGGGTGAGGAAGCGGAGTGTAAGCGGATGTCAAAATATCGATTTGCTTATATCGTATGCCAAAATGTACCTGGATGACAAAGGAGAAATACATGCACTCCGCCGATTTGACGAAGCTGCTGTTCAACTTCTACAGCATGCTCGAGACAGAAGACATGCATTTGAGGAGAATCTTCATCTGATCTTCGAACAAATGGAATATCGGCATTCTCCATCGGTACAGCCTTTCTAAACCTCATTTTCTCCGCGCTGTGAGTGGCTGGAGACGGACTTGGATTAGCATGCGACGCTGTGCTTTGATCTCTAAACTTATCCTCCAAACCATTGGATCTTCTTGAAATAAATTTATCGGTTTTAAACTCGACAGAAGGGTCAAATGTTTGAGTGCTCTGATTCATGATGTCAACTCTTCCAGATCCAAATTTGGAAAAGCAATGACCAACATGGAGAGGAGCTTCCTCCTCAGAATCAGCTGTTGGTAATGAGGGATTGCGGCTCTTATTCGCATCAGGAGATAAAGCAGAATCATTACGCTGAATTTTACTTTCTGGGGACACATTTGCAGAGTTTATCTTTGTCGCGTCACGAAAGATGGTAAAATTTGGTTCAGCATGATCTATTTCAGAATCAGATGAATCTCCATATGTAGAAGCTAATAGACCAAGAGCAGAAGTCTCTCCCTGTTTTACAGTATCTTCCATCCCTTGGTTTCTCCAATCTCCCACCCGATACTTGGAGTCAACAGACTGAACAGAGACATCATAAAAAGAATTCGGAGCACGCTTATTCATTTTATCTGTAATGGAAAGGGGAAAAAAGATCATGTTTTTGGCAAACCTGCAGCAAAGGTAGCAGAAAGTTCTTGAATAAAATATGAATTCCAAAGCTCAGATAAGCATGCTGATCAGTATACAAGCATATGGTCAATCCAGATATCATGCAGCATACATAATTTAACTTGAAACAAGGAAACTATTGCATCCTATTCAAATGCAAGTAAACGAGCAACCAAATGACTCAGTCGCCCAAGTCCATTGCCATAAGACTAAACATAAAACCGAGGCATAAATTCCCATTACCTTATTTATCATATCTCTATTACAATTTGGATATAATATCTCGTAGGAAGCCAATGAAATTCAGCCAAATGCCAAGCTAGTCTACATACAATCATTCATCAGACTGCTAATATGCATCATAAAGACAAAGCTATCGTCCCATAAGCACTAGGAATACGTAAACAGAAATGGAGAACATATATTTACTTTGATTAGCATGTAATCATATGAAGGTCAGAGAATAAAAGAAAGTTTCCACAAATAACATACTTGTACAAGGATTTTGCTCGGAAGTGATTGCATCAGCATGGGCAGCATCAAACCCATCGTGATTTACTTTAGAACCAACAGTCCAATCATTAAAAAAGCTACAGTCAGCTGACATGAGGTATCTAATCGCTTGGTCTGTTGGCTGAAGAACGGCAACACAGGCAAAGCACAATATTCCACATGTGACGCATGAAAACAGCCTCTGATCTGGCAACGCATCATCTTGAATGGCACCGTCTTTTTCCATGACCGTGTTCAAGGTCTTTGAGGGCAGTCTATATGAATAGTCATTTCCACTAAAAGAAGAATCCCGGTAACCTTCATATATCGATTCAAGTTTTCCTTTCACTGAATAGAAACCTTTTATTCCATTGATTTCTTCTTTCCAACCTAGCGTATTCGCATTGGAGCCTACATCTTTGGATGATTTGACTATTTCCTTGTAGTTGCATAAACCAAGTGACATCCTCGGGTTTATTCTTAATTGGGATGCAACTCGTGAATCTGAACAAAGAGAAATGTCAGAAGAGCTTTTGGGAAGTGGTACCACTGCAGATCCTTTTCCAAGAATATGTAGTAGTTTATTGTTCTGTATTAAATCCTGCACAAATAATTCTTTAACCAAGTTTTCTCCTTCAGTTTTTTTCTTATCCTTTAGTCGAGAACTCTTTGGTTTAGCACTGATGCTCATAGATATCCTGCAAGGAGAAACCTAAAAAGAATGAGGAAAAGGTGCATAATAAAAGTTATCACTCTCAATTTATTGCAGGTCAGTATTCTACAAGCAACTTTCGGTACAAATTTTGAAATTGCTAATAGATATTCACAGATTTCTTTCCCAATGTCTGAAACTTAACTCCAACAACAAGAAATAAAACTAAAATGAGTATGTTTCTTAGACTCCCCAATATTTTAATATTAAGTTATTCGAACTAGGGTGTGAATGTCGAATATGGGTATGTATCTAACACAGGTATGGTTAGATTTTTCTAAGTTTTTCCATGTATTGGGAGGATATCATATCTCTATATACATGAGTCGGGCACAGGTGTTGGATGCAGGTACTTCAAAAAAAAAAAAAATCCAGGCATAGTGGCCAATGTTGACCACATATACGAACATAGTGGCCAGATAGCAGCGTCAGCGTATTGCTATGAAAAACTAGCATATTCACGACTTAGAGCAACAAAGTAGCAGGATTTTAAAAAATAAAATTAATAACACAGAGTTCCAATCATAACCAAGAGCAAGAGAAGATCAACTAGCCGGTTTCCATATGCATATTAACATGAGTTGCAATAATGTTTAAAGTAAAAGCATCAGAGTTTCAGCTATATTAGATTGAGAAGGCAGAATGCATCAAGAAATGAAGAAACCCAAGCATCAGATAAATCATACTGCATTTACAATAGAAACAAGTCACATACCTAGAACATAATTCAAGTGCGAGATCATAAAGCAACTGGAAATGAGAGACCATTGGAGGGTAATTGATTGAAGCCCTTCGAATCGCAGCATACGTGGCCACTCTCAACCATTCTGGAGTTGCAATATTAGCCGCCTCTCCAAAGTTAAATCCTAACCCAAAAAACATATAAAGGAAATTAGCTCCCTCCTAAAATTGCAACTATAGAAATTCGAAAGATTCTCACCATGACTGAACCCTGAATGATAGGCTCTCGGGAAAGTGACAACAAACTCCCCAGCATTTTGCACTAACCTGATTTCAGAATACCGTTAATGATAGAAAGTTATAGAGAACCATCCTCACCAAGACGTTATGAGAATAGATTCCAGTTTCAAGTATTTCATGGGAACTTCTAAATATATCATCTTTTCTAAGATAAGGGGAAAAGGATTGGGCGCAAATTTAATTTAAAAGAACAAAAACAGAATTCAAATACTTATAGAATGAGATGAAAACAAAACACAAGCCAAAAGATGTGCAGTGTAAGGATCGCAAGTAGTAATTTAGGATTTGAATTGAATCTAAGATTACTTGATAGTGCAAAAGAATATGAGGTAACTTTACCTGCAGCATGGTATCCCGGCTTGAACAAATACTTCAGGAGACATCACTGTGGTCTTCTCACCAAGAGTAGAAAAAGTAACTAACACATGAAAAATAGAAAGTGACATTTGCTCAGTTGGCATATTTGCGAAAAGATACAATATCAGTACCACAAGCGAAGAAACAGAGGAAACACAATTAATTCACCAAACCGACCAAGAGGATTGAACTCCCCTCCATTGAAACACCAGCTAAAAGATAATAAAACCCACTTAAAAAAGCTCCATTGATTGACATTGTTGAAGGAGGAGTCAAATTCGATCATCCAGTTTATTGAATTATTTCTTCGATTTCTCAAACTGGTCAATCTCACCAATGATATCCTATATGGGATACTACTTACATATGCATAGTCCACACAAAGTATTTGTTTCACATGTAGCTAGCAAAGAAACAGAGGAAAAAGAGTTAATAGCACTAAACTCAACAAGAGGATTGAATCCCCTTCATTGACACACAATGAAACTGATAACTAAAACCACTTCAAAACCTCCATTGACACTGTTTGACAAGAAGTCAAATTCGAGCATAGCCTTTTAAGTTAATTCCTTCTTCGTTCAAACTAGTCAATCACACTGATGTTATCCTATAAAGGCTACTGCTTACATATGCAGAGTCAGCAGAACACAAAGTATTTCACACGTAGCTAGCGAAGAAACAGAGGAGAGAGCATTAATTAATAGTTCACTGAACTCACTAAGAGGGTTGAATCACCTCCATTGACACACAAAAGCTCTGTTGACCCATTCAACAAGAAGTCAAATTCGAGCACCTAATATATTAAGTCAATTCCTCATTTTTCTCAGACTAGTTGATCACACCATTGTTATCCTATATGGGCTACTACTTATATATATGCAGAGACAGCTATGAAACAGAGGAAACATGATCAATAGTTCATTAAAACTCACCAAGAGGATTGAACTCCCCTCCATAGCCCTCAACCCTGACGACCTCCTCGAAAGCGACCGCGGCTTCCCTCGGAACACCATACCAAGTCTTCCCAGCGCCCATGTGCAAATAATTCAAGCTATGCAAGTCATGATCCTCAACATGCCAAGCGAACCAACTGAACAGCATTGCGAGGTAGACCATAGGGGAAGTAACCCCGGGAATCTCCTCCTTCATGAACCTTAACAACGATCCCTTTGCCCTCGAAACAGCTCTCATATTCCAAGGCGTTTCCCCCACTGTAACCCCTTCCCCTGCTTCTCTCATATTCAACGGCACAAAAGCCGAACCAGGAATGTCGTTAGCATACTCAACCATGGCGGGTTTATCAACCGTTGCTTTCCAAAAAAGGGTTTCGACTTCTAGAGCAGAAAGGGTGCCCTTTTTGCTGTGTTTCTTCAAGTAACTCCTCTCGAAACTCTTGGCTTTGGCTTCGAATTCTTGGAACGTGTAGTACTCCCCACTCTGCCACACGGATTTCTGAACAGGACGGGGCTTTCTGGGGCAGAACCCGATCTGCTGCTGGCAGGTAGTGAATGTGGCTACTGGTTTCGAATCGGGGCTTGCATTAGCTGCGGCACGAGCCAAAAGGGAACAATTGAGGTTCCTTATTGCAGTCTTTTTAGGATCGGGTGGCACTGGGGGTATGATTTTGCAGATTCCATACTGGGAAGCCTCCTTTTCGATCTTGAAAATGTATGCAATTGGATCTTGAAACTCTGCAAAAGAAGGCATATACTCCGGAGCTAAAGGCATGGATTTCAGCCATGAAAACACCTCTTGACTTTGCTCTGATGAATGAGCCATGGAAATGAAGAGTAGTGAATCTCTGTGTGGGTATGGTTTGGGTAATCATTGACAAAAGTTCATATTACGAAGGCTCACTAGAAAAAAAAAACGAAACAAAACAAAAAGGCTTTCAGATTCTCTCTAAGCTTCCATTTTCTCTCTTTTTTTTTAGTCTGAGAAAAATGGGTTTTCTTTTCTATTTTTCCTCTGTTTTTCCCCCTTTTTTAATGAAGAACAGAGGAAGGGGCAGAGAGGCAAGCAAGGGCAACTGGATGGGATATGACGTGAGGATTTATTCTGGGTTTGGACTTGAGGACTAAAAGTTAAGAAAATGACAGCCATTTTCTTTCATTTACCTTCCGGCCACCATCTCTTTCAAGGTGTATTTGGTTAGGAGAATATGAGATTCTCATGGGAATAGAATTTATATTTTTCGTTTGGTTGGTCGAGAATATCATTTCCGATAATCTTAAATTACCAATAGTAAATTTTTTTAGGTATATTACCCGAAATATCATTATCTCTTTTTCCTTAAGTATTGTTGGATTACTAGCGTTTTAGACTAAAATGCCCTTAATTTTTTTCTTTTAAAAATATTCTTATTATGTCATTAAATAATAAAAATTTTACGAAAGTTAAATTACAAATTTATCTTTAAAATATTTTAGATTTACAAAAAAAAATCTATTATTAAAATTTTATATAAAGTTAATGGTTTAAAATAAAATTTTACCATTTCATTAAACATTTTTATATTTTCAATTTTGTAAAAAAAATTATATAAATTTTATAAATTTAATTTTTTTAAAGAAAATATATAAATATTTTTCAACTTGTTAAAAAAACAAATATATATAATAAGGATAACTTGGTCAAATATACATTCCAATAATCTTTTATTCTTTTAACCAAACACGGTAACCTTACATTCCTGCTAAATCAACCAAAACACAAAATACAACATTCCCAGTAATCCTATTCCATGATAATCTTTTATTTTCACTGATAATCTTACATTCCGTGAACCAAAAACACCCTCATTATTTATTATCATTTGGGTAAATACAAGTCGAAAAATGACATTCAACTGGTATAAAAAATATACACTATTAAATTTTAATTCTGTGTTTATTTATTTTGCTAGATTTTTTTAATGGAAAGAGGAAAGCAGTAAGTTTAGACACAGCTGCCGTGGCAGTTATCTTCAAAAAGAAAAAAAAAACTGGATAAATAATTGGGGGAGGACTGTGGAAGAGCTGGAGATGAGAGTCCCCATGCCAGGCGAGTCATTCCATCAGCTATCTTGTTACATTCCCTCGGAACATGAACCAGACGAACCCGCCATTGTCGTGTGAGCAACGCAACAATACGATGGTGTAGCGAGGAGCGGTGACACTCTCCCAGACCAGTGAGAAGATGAAAAATCAGTTTATTATCTAATTCAACGATTACCGAGCGGAAGTCGGGATCCCAGGCCAACAACAAACTCTAAAAAACACCCCATACTTCCGATTCAAAAGCCAAACATCACCCGATGAGTTTAGCAAACCCCGATATCCATGCTCCTTCACTATCCCTTAGCACACCACTACAGGTTGCCGAACCAGAATTGGGGTTATGTTCTCCATTAGAATTAACCTTCATCCAGCCGGGGAGAGGAGGCTGCCAAGCAACATTGCGATTCAGCGGGGCAGAATCACCCTGAAACAGAGATCAGATCGCCAGTGAATGGACGGCTTTAGACTGGAGACAGAAACTCTGAGCCAGAATCGATTCAGTCGCACAAAAGGTTCAATCAAAAATCACACTTCCTATGGATCCACAAACACCAAACGATTGAACCAAAGAGCAAATCCCAATCAGTAGAAACAATCGAAAAATGAGCAGGTTGTGTAATGTTTTCCTCCACCCAACTATGGATGTCCATGCTTAAAAACGTATCAATAAGTTTAGGTTTAACTAACGCCCTCCAGGTATCCCGAGCAATAATGCATTCACACAAAATGTGTGAGGAAGACTCCGCTAGCTCCGCAAATAGAGCATCTAGGATCATTGAACATATGACGACGAACCCGCTCCTCATTTGATAGCAGACGTCCTTGACAAAAAAGCCAAAGGAGAATACGAACACGGGGAGACCTCAAAACTTATTCACAACCTTCCAAAGCTTGCCACCTTCGTTATCAAGCTGACCCACGCGCCGCACATATACGCTTTTAGTGGTAAACCGGTGTTGTACATCCCACCTCCACTCGGGTAATCAACAACTTCATTCGCAGTGGGGGGCGGTATTGCTGCAATAGAGAGAAGAGCCTGCTGTGGAAGTAAACTATTCAATAAACCCCAGTTCCAATCATCCGAGGGGAGCACCATATCTTTAAGCTTGGCACCTGAATACACTAACCCCTTATGTGAGGAACATATCGCATCAAGGGGACCCGTATCAGACATCCAACAGTCTTGCCAGAAGTCAATCGCCTCACTGTTACCAACATGCCAGACTAAGCCCTCACGGACCTCGTCCCAAACTGCCTGGATTCCCTGCCAAAGCCTAGAACAACCACGCCGAACGACGGTAGAAGAGACTAAATCTTGGACTTTATATTTACTCTAAAGAACCCAAGCCCACAGTTGATGACACTGAGAAATCAAGCGAAATCCAATCTTTATAAGAAACACTTCATTCTGAATATGGATTCGCTTGACACCTAATCCCCCAAAATCACTTGGTTTACACACCTCTGACCATCGAATGAGATGCACTCTTCGATCCTCACCCGAGTCTCCCCATATAAACCACAGATGATAGCCTCAATTTCATTACGTATGTTTCGATTGATAGCACGATTGCATTGTATACGACGGAAGGGCAGATAGGACTGATTTTGCCAGAACAATCCGTCCCACCAAGGATAGAGACTTTTCCTGCCAACCCCCAAATGATCACGCACTTTTTGAACAATATATTGATAAGTGTTCTAAGTCACTCTATTATGGAGTAAAGGAACACCCGAATATTTACCCATATCATCCACTCGCGTAAATTGAAACCCCGCACTAATGTCATCCTGCAAACATACATCCACATTACGCGAAAAATAAATGTTCATTTTGTTAATACTCACTTTGTGGCCAGAGCTTTCACAAAAATCACCTCGCACCCTCTGGATAACATCAAGCTTATCTAAAGAGGCTTCAAAAAACAACACCAGATCATCGACAAAGAATATATGTGAAAGGGGATGACCATTACGTGCTAGCTTAACCGACTTCCAGTGACCTTCCCTAACAGCACGTTGAATTCCATGAGCAACGCCATCCATGCAAAGGACAAACAAATAAGGTGAGAGTGGATCTCCTTGCTGAATACCACGAGACAATTTGAACACATCAGTCATAGAGCCATTCCAAATAACCTGCGACGAAGCAGTAGACACACAATACATTATTAAAAGCCGCAAAGCTTCCTGACAATTAATTTCTCTAAGAGTGTCATCAATAAAAGCCCATTCAAGTCGATAATAGGCCTTTTCAAGATCTATCTTGATCGTCATTCAGCCTACACGACCCTGCTTCCTCTTCATTGAGTGAATAACCTCTTGCGCAATTATTATATTATCCGAAATACTCCTCCCGGAACAAAAATCGTTTGGATTTCAGAGACCCATTTTGGGAGAAATGACTTCAATCGATTGACAATTGTCTTCGTGATAATTTTTTAAGGAACTGTGCATAAACTTATAGGTCGAAAATGAGCAAAACTTTCAGGAGAAGAAGTCTATAAATTAACCCCGGATGAAACTCTCTCGAACTAATCTGCAGACATCACGACTACTGTTTCCCAATTACGCTGGAAGAACAAAGAATGAAAATCATCCACCTCCGATGCCTTAGTTGAATGCATCTCCATAACTAATTTCTTAATCTCTTCATCAGATATCATATAAGCGAGAGAACATAATTCAGAATCAGTGTATTGAAAGAAATTACCTCGGATATTATGCAAATAACCCCCGGAGCTCTCACTCGAAAAAAGATTCCTGAAATAGGTTACCACATGGTTCTTGAGAATTTGCTGATCAAAACACCAATTACCAGAACCGTCTTTCAAAGCCTGAACAGAGTTGTGCTTTCGACGACTTTTAATCCGAGCATGGATTTTTGAAAACAGATACACTCTTCAATGTGAAGCACATTTTCCGATTCCTACTTCAATTGAGATTTCAAATTCAAAAGGAACGGAGATTGGCAAACATCAAGGGCTTTTGCAATACCACGTAACCAAGCAAACAACCGACGTTGTCTCTTACTAATTTCTCTAAGATTCAAAGAGTTCTAATCAAGGAGCTTCGATTGAAGGGCAACGAGGTTCGACATAACGTTAAGCTCATGGTTCTAACCATCCCGAATTAGTTCTTGAATCTCCCGATTCTCTTGTCAAAAGGGCTGAAAATAGAATAGGAATGAAGATGAAGAAGCTCGAGGTTCCAAAATTCGTAACAATATAGGGCAGTGGTCAGACCCCAACCTATCCAGATAAAACACCTCGAAGAAAATGGTCATATTATTCCAAGTAGAATTCACAAGACATCGATCAAGGTACTGGTGAAGATTACCATGGGCCCATGTAAAAGGAGAACCATGATAGTTCATATAGAGGAGAGCATTGTTAAAACTAAAATTATTGGAACTTCTGCTAATCCCAGAACGTCCTGGAATCCATGCTAGGGTTCAAATCACCCAACGAATTCCATAAAAACTTTCGAACTATAATGCAAGGATGTCCATAAACCGCTGTCAAAAGGAACGATCGTTGGAAATCTGCATGGGTAACTCAAGCATGGATAAACTGAGCTGAAACATGAATAACCTCTAGCTGAATAGAAGGCTTCCACAGAACCCAAATACCACCACTGAAACCCTAAGCTTCAATGCGAAAGGAGTTAGAAACCCAAGCTTCTTAATCACTGAATCTGCACGGTCACCACTTATATGAGTTTCTGAGTGCACTACAATCTGAGGGTAAACAGTCAACATAAAATGCTTAAAAACACGTCGAAAAAAGGGGTTTCTCGCCCCATGACAATTCCAAAAAAAATAATTAAACATGGGTCGGGGAATGTTGGGGAAGAACGTTAACTCCAAAATTCGAATGAACCTCGCCTATGATATCACCGGGGTTCTCAAAATCAGATTATAACCTTTCACCCTGAGCCTGCTGTCCATCTCGACTGCTACTTTCGATACCATCACAGTCAGCTTCA